CAGGGATTTATGTGCTCTACAAATACAGGTTTGTTTGACCACCCAGTTCTACTCGAACGTACAGACTTCAAAGGGTTGAAGTTAAATACACTATGTATTACTATCACCTCCGGCAGTAGCCATGCGAATTCATACAGAAGTTATCGAAGTTCACGAACCGTCCTGTCTTATTCGCAGAAAAATAGATCAGAGGCGTTAGCTAGAACGCACAACGTTGCTAGGCGGTTACCGGCATCGACTAAAATCCGGTGCAGTAAACCCGGTAGGCTTGGTACAAAACTTCCCCCAAACCTCCCCTCTCGGTCCCCTGCGTCTTTCCCCCGCTCATTTTGCTTTCAGCAACGAAGTCGGTTCCTCACTCTCGTTCATCTTGCACTCGTTCACTCAAACTCGTCTCCTTACAACCATTCGTTTATTCTAAACTCATTTTCAATCATGTTCTTCGCCAAGACGTTGCTCATCCTTGCCGCTGTCTCTACCACGGCTTTCGGCAGCGCTCTCGTCGCGCCAGTGCTTGGTGTGTCTGGCCCTGGTACTATTACAGACGCAAGCCATTCTATACACTCACTGATATGCATATACTCACCCTTCTCTTTCATAGGTCCAAAAACCCACCCCTGACAGGCTTTGCGGCAAAACTCCCTTTACTGCCATCGATACATCAAAGACTGCCCCCCTTCGCGACGACAAATTCACTGTGATCGCTACCAGCTTCAGCGCCGGACCCGACGGCTCCACCCAGTTCACTGCTCAAGTCGACACTACGGGCAAGGGTACATCATTCCAACCTGCACGCGTCTCACAGAACGGAAATCCGAACCCTGGCTCGACCGGAAATACGCAAATTACCGTCCAGGTGCCTGCTGGGACAACTTGCACCGGCGGAAAGACCAGAAACTTGTGCCTGGTGTCATTCAGGTCTTCGGCTGGATTTGGGAATTGCGTTGTTGTCTCTTGTGAGTGCATTTGAGATAATTGCTTGATACGGAATTGGATACTAATGTGGTTGTTGTGAAGCTAGTGCCGCTGGTACTGCTGCCAAAGCTGGCGCAGCTACCGCAGAGACCACCAAGAATAACGTAAGTGCTTCGGTTGGCCAGGAGAAGATAATAATTGGTTTTAACATACGTCGTCCATAGCGCCACCATGCTCGCGATTTCCTCGGTAGCCTCGAGGAGAAACGCGAGTACGTCAAGCATATGTCCCCTCGGGTTGTACGGGAGCGTGTTTAGACATAGGTGATCGGAATCTTCGTGCTCTTGAAGGGAGTCAGATTCCGCCAATTGTATGCTCGCGTAGTTTATAATGGACATTGTGGGGGTAAATTTATGACGCTAGCTGGCGTTTTTGATCGAAGCAAAACTGCACTGGCGTAGCTCAACTAAAACTTGACAGTAAACGTGAGCTTCAACGTTGCAGGGGTTTATGCACCCGACAGATACAGGTTTGTCAATTCTGCTCGGACGTGCAGAGTTCAATGGGTTGGGGTTAAATGCACTATATATTTCCAGTATATTTCCATCACTTTCGGCCATGACCATGCGAATCCATGCAGAAGTTATCGGAGTTCATTTGTGCGAACCATTCTTGTTTGCAGAAAAAAGATACTAGCAAATAGGGCGATCGATATGCCCCTCGTGTGCAGACGGCTTAGCAAAGTGGTTACTGCGATTGATTCGAAATCAATTCCTCTTCGAGGGCGTAGGTTCGAATCCTACAGTCGTCGTTTTGCTCTTCAAAAGGACAAAAAGTCCGTCGTAAAAATGATCATTAGCGTTTTACTACATACGAGCGCCTAGCAAAGTTTTCGATTACATAAAACACATACCTGATGGACTCACTGTGGACATGCTGCTCCTTTGCCAGCCTGAGCTCAAATGTGCAATGTTAGGGCATTGAAGGTAGTTTTCAGAGTCGCTAGGGTGGATCAGTAAGTTGCTCGTCTATTGTCACGTGACCTGGACGCAACAGTCGGCAATTGTTTGGCATGCTGCTATCTGCATATATGCGTTACACAGGTGGTCCGTTAACCTATTTGTTTCGGAAAGCAGCTCGTTTATAGTATGAAAATCTAGCCTGGAACTTTGCGGTTTGTGCTTTCTTTTAATTCGGTCTGACACGCCTTGCTCCGTGGCCCCTAACTTGCGTCTTCTTGATGTCATCATTATCCCTCTATAAAATCCAGGTATACTCTGTTTGGCCCCTGATTCTCTCCTCTCCTCTCGCTCTCTGATCTCCAACCTTTCATCTCTTGTTCCCCCACTGCGGCTGTCCCATGATAACCTTACACTACATCCGTATCTTCCTCGCGCACCTCGCTATCATTACGTCACTACAGAACGCGCTGCAAGACGCATTCAGGATTTATTACACGAGTCTGTCACTCCGCGAGTAAGTTGAGCGACCACAGTGCTGACTTCGCTCCTGACTTCCCACTTCAGTTTTGGCGGGGACTATGGGCAGGAATACGACAGCAATGGGTACTATCAGCACGCTTATGGGTGAGGGTACTCGATTGCCGCTGTTGTTTGATTAACTTTTTTCTATAGCTTTACGGCATCGCTGCGCCAGCCTACTTCAGTTTACGTCCCTCACAAGGTGACCTCATGGGATCTGGTAGTTGCAAACGAGACCAAATGGATGACATTCGACTTCCTTACTGACCTGGTGAACCAAAAGCCTTCTGGAGACTCAGCTCACCATCCTATGCTCAACTTCCGTACCTCAACTTCTAACACCCTCGTTCCCATGCTGCTTTCACCCGATTTTCTGTCTTCCCCTATTAAGCATTCCGAATCGACGGATTTAATGCTTCATCCGACTCTGGCTAAAGCCCTCAGACCTCGATATGTTATTGTACGGGGGCGTGTGTATGTCCCCCCTCGTAGCACCTTGGACGACCTGGACAATTACTTTGAACCTGTTGTCGGAGCGCCTCTTGCGTTCTTTTGCGTTACTCGACCATCTTCGAATCCTTTGATAATCGAGGAGCGGCTTTGGACCTCAGTCCTGCTAGTGACGCTGCTCAACTGCTTGGGCATTGTGGTTGTTTTTATTTATGAGGGCAGACGTTGTATATTTGGTGAGTGATTTATGTGGAAGTTTAAATCGACTATTATCCTTAGCGTACAACTGGAGATACAGCCTCCCCAATGCGAATGTCAACAAGTGATGACCAGGTGTTGCCAACGACCGAAGATGCAGTTGCAAGACTCGAAGCGTTGATCCCGAGACTCGAACAGGAGAAGGAGGAGCTCCAAGAGGCTGATCTGGTACCCAAGACATACAAGATTAAAGTATTTACACGTTCCCGCCCACTTTCCCACCAGGGTTGAGAATTATCGGTTGACTTGGGGTGACGACGAGGCCTGTTAAACTGGCGCTGTTACTTGTTTTATTGCCATAAAAGGGATCAAAATGAGAAATCGTGACTGAACTCAGTTCAAAACAGCCGTAGAGATTGAAAATTGTAGCAGAAAGGAAGCTTCCTGGCTGTGAAACTTGTGAGTTAACTCAAAATAAGTAGTCAATTCCCTTCGCTTGTTTGGCACATCGACTGATTCGAGATATCTTTCAGCGGCGACATGCAATCCTCCGTCACTCACATCCGGAAATCGAGCTTCTGTAAAAAGTGGTCATATACGGGCCGTGTAGAATATTGCTCTTAAAATCCTTACAGTCGAACACGGAGGTGGTTTCATCATCTCGGAGCCGCGCTAAGAAAGAGGTTCTTGGCGCTAAGTGGGATCATGGCGCTTAATATCTTCATGGTCCTGGATGAGAATCACGTGGCATAATCTTGACTGTTTTGACATTGTGGGCTGGCAGACTGGCGGCGCCGACATAAAATGGAAGAAGACGAGGGCGATGTACGGGTTACTGTCGACCCTAGCGCCTCTCACTATCATGCCGGCGAAAATGCGACATTCACCATCAGCTTCACGAACACTCGGCATACTCCCACTCCTCAGACTCCTCGACCGCCTATGTCTCGAACGATGTCGGATGGCCAGTCTGGGGCGTATGCGAGGAGCAAAGGACATAGAAGGGCGGTGAGTTCGATTAGTGAGGCGAGGATGGCGAGGCCGCCAACGAGCCCTGGATTGCGCCGTCCGACTCCACCTGTGCCGCCGAAATACTCTCCGTTGGCTTCGACGTCATCGTCGACCTCACCCAAAGCGACGAGACAGGGACTCATTGGGCAGAGGAGGTTGGAGAATGGGAATCGTACGCATCCGCTACGCTCGCTTAGTGTCGCGATTACTTCGCACAGTGCATTTCGTGAGCTGGTGGACGCCCAGGATGAGGACGACGATGTAGTCGCTCTGAATGGATCAGGGACGCCTACCACTCCGACTCATTCTCGTCGTAAGTCGATTTTATGCACTTCTGTAGCCCGAGTTTACATTTTCATTCGTAGCCTCGCCTCCTCGACGCTCACGCACCACCGCTGGAATTCCCCTCTCCCACCCACACGCCCGCAAACAGTCTGCAGCTCTAGACGGCACATTCCAATTGACGTCCTCCGTCTCTCAGCGCCTTCCTTCAACACCCTCCATATCAACCTTCTCCACGTCCCTCGCCCCAATAACCGAGTCCAGTTCGTTTGACTCTGTCGTCCCATCCCCTCTCGGACCCGGTCGCGACCTCCGCGCTGGCCTCGGCCACGGCTCATCTCGCTATACACCCGAGCTCTCTTTACAAGCTGCGACACCACCTCATTCCCTACCAACACCCTCCCCCTCTCAAAGTTATCCCGATACGCCATCCACACCCTCCCCGACGCACACGGAAGGCTCGGCTCTAATCCTTCTCGCACACGCCCAACTCACAGGCACATTAGCACTCGAGCCACCTTCTGCCGCTCTTGCAGCAACATGGCGTGCTGCTGAAGTGGGTACGGGCCGTCGAGTCGTCGGCGGCGGCCGGGTAGGGATCGGCGTACCCCGACCTAGAGCCCGTCCCCGCGCCGCATCCGGCGTCGGTGCCTGGCTAGGACTCGCATCCCCCGGATCAGACGGAGCTACGCGCTCGAGTATGGGTCTAGGCGGACTGGTTTCGGCTGGATCGTCGACTGCATCGCTGGCGAGCGCGCCTCCGGATTCACCGTCGACGAGACCGTTTAACGGGAGGAGGGGGCATCAGAGGGCGACGTCCATGGCGAGTTTTATTCCCGGGATGGCGAGCATTTCGGCGCTCCTGAGTCCGTTTGGGGAGGAAGAGTCGGGAGAGAGTGCGTTGGGAGGTCGGGTTGGTACGAACGGGATGGGTGCTGTGAATGGGAGTGTCGCGTTGGATGGTATGGGGTCTGGTGCGACAGTTGAGGAAGGGGTGTATCCAATTTTGGAGACTCAGCCGAGTGTTTTGGCTGTGGATTTGACCCTTCAGCCTGGGGAGACGCGAAAATGTGCGTCACTAGTATACCTCACATTTGATCGTATGGAACTGACTTTGATATCGCAGACGCCTATACAATCACCCTCCCCTCCGCACTCCCTCCCTCGTTCCGCGGCAAATACTTCAAGCTCACATACCACCTTGTCGTCGGAACCACGCGCCCCGACGCGCATTCCGACGCAGGACAGCTTCGACGAGTGATCCGAGTCCCGATTCGAATGTACAACCATGTGGCAGGTACGTTTACCTTCCTCCTACATGGCTTTATTCTCGAGTTACTTACGACCTGGGTGTAGTTGGGCGGATGCCGAGACCCTATGATCTCATGTGGCCACTTGCTAGGAGGCGAGAAGGCGCGATGCTCGTTGGGAGTGTGGAAGAAGGAAATGGTATTGGACTAGGTTTGGGAGAGCTGGGAAAGGGACCTTGTGAGTATTCTCCTACGGTTTTAAATTCTAGGGCCCGACCGGTGTATCCCAAGTATCTTTGTCGAAATCACCAGAAAAGGGGAAGATTACGCGTAAAGAGCTTGAGATTTATGCCCGGCGGCTGGTCGCGTCTGCTCCTGATCCTCTTGCTGCTGGCATCAGCAAATTACGGCTATCTGCTCCCAATGGCGTGGGTGCCGATACGTATGAGGATGACGAGGGGGCGAATATGAGCTGTCGGGATGCGGTTGAGGTAGTGACACGGCATTCTAAGAAAGGTGCGGTCAGCTCCATAACATACTACTTACTTGTTCTAACGGTGGTTCTTGTCTTGATTTGCGCGACATAGTCTCGTATGATATTGCCAAAGATGGGAAGACAGTAGCTGTGATTACGTTTGTCAAGGCCATGTATCGACTGGGAGAAACTTTGCTCGGTGCCATCGAGTTTAACAATCCGGATATGGAGGGTAGGGTGCTTAAGGTATGTCCTCATTTTCTTGAATATACCTCCCATAAATAACCCACGTCCATGTATAGTACTCAGTGACGCTCGAGTCTACCGAGTCCCTCGCACTACACACACCAGCGCCTCAGACCCGAAAACACGCGGAGCACCACGCAGCTCTCACACCCGCAATACAACGAGCCGCGTTCTCTCTTGACATTCCATCCGACGGGACACCCTCCTTCTCGCTCACCGCTACTGAGACAAATAGCCTACCGAACGGGAGCGCCGGCTCCGGTAGATGGGCTCCTCCAAATGGACATGCACCAATGCTGAACGGCAACGGTGTTGTAAAGAGCAAAACAGCTCTCGAGGGTGGTCTTCAATGGCGCGTTCGCGTAGCGCTCGTGGTATGCATGGCTTCTCGGACAAGGCACGTCGTGCGTGACGGGTT